TATCCACCAGATAATGAGATGGAGGATATTTTGGCTTCAAAGCAATTTAACTCGTAAACGAGATCGGTGACCCCCATATTTTATTTCATAAAATCATTTCTCTTAGTATACTCAATTATCTTAAATTAAATTAATGAAAAATATTATGAATAATCACATATGTACGTAATTGAATTTTATAATTGTCAAGATAATTAAATATACTAAGAATATTATAATTGTCAAGATATTTTAGCCTAAACAGGTTCTTAGATCCTATGTTCTTATATGCGGGGTTTTACTGTATTTTACAGTGACCAACGTGTCACGATGTGAGTGATTTATATTGTCGTAATCAGTATATTCAATTGGTCTGTTACAGATTTACAAGGAAATCCGAGATCGACATTTTACAAACGTGTTTGGTTTCTTAAGTTTAAAGGCGAAGCAACTCCAAGTTGGATATGATGTGAGGACACCTTCATTAATGAGAATTTAATTCAATTTGGTTGACAATGTGATCCTAGATTCCTAGCAATAAAAAATAAGTTTCCCCAATTGGAAGAATGACTCGATATATTTCGAAACCTTACTACAGATATTACGGGAACCACTGAGTATTTCTACAAAATACAAAGCAATGGTATAACTCCAAAATGATGATGACTAAAACATAGTCGAAAGCTAAAACTATATCAAAATGTTCCTTTTAGGAGTTACCGTTGTTTTGTATCTTATTGCAGATTTTCCTATCGTTCTTGCTATAACCAAGTCAATTCGTGCAAAACCTCCCTTTTCAGAAACTCTTTTTTTAACCGAATTGTTTTTATATGGAACAATCTCTCTCCGATCATTCGTAACAGTTCGTCTGTTTCATCCTTTAAGCTCCATTCTCAATACTCTTCTCAATTAGACTCTTCTTTCGATGTTAACAGAATGCGCACTTGGAAAACCTACTGCTCTAAATGCCGTTCTTTCAACTTAAGCTGTTGCTCATAATCTAAACTATTAATTTTTACATAGTTATGTAAATAGTGTTCTAGTCCTTGTCTTTAATGTATGTCTGCTCGTTGTTTTGTGTCAGGTCAACTGGTCCAGTGGTGCCTAAATTACTTTGAATTTGTACTCGAGTAAAAGTAGAAGTAATTAACAATAAAACGACTTGAGTAAGAAGTACTGGAAGCAAAAGTAAAAAGTACTTAAGTAAAAAGTACAAAGTATTAAAAAATACTTGAAGTACAAAGTAAAAGTACTATTGTCTGTAGCTTGCAGTAAAGGGGGAGGGGGACTTCTCCAATGGATTGACATACAAAAGACACAAAACAGCACACGCATTATATGTGTGCACCGAATATACAATATTTCACGGCATGGTCTACTTTCCAGACCCCGTTGAAGATATAAGAAATCCATTAAATAAATAATGCTTGTAAGTAAGCCACAAACGCGGGATCCCAGACGCATGTAGAGGTCGTATTACCTATCCCGAAATTACAATAAATCAGAAATAAATCACGTAACCCCCCCCCCCCCCCTCACTACGTGACGTATCCATGTACTGTACATATATGTATCAGTGTATTTATGAATTGTGTCTGTACGACTCAATCAATTTTGCCCTTCATTACAATGCCACAAAGTTTCTATCGAAACATTGCATTGAAAGGGTACTTGTCACAGAGACGAATAGCCATCACTGTTTCAATTTTACACAAAAACTTTCTTACAAAGTGTGGACTCTAAGCAACACATAAAAAATTGTCGAATTTTAACTTTGATGTATCATTTAACCCAAGAACGAGGTTGCATTTAACCTTTCCTGAGGGGCACGACTTTTCAGGGGAGATGCAAAAAATCTCTGGGGTGACACCTCCCCCCTTCAAAATCCAGCCACGATTTTAAGCCACCACATCACTGAGAACTTTTCTGTTGAACTTACAAAGTTTCGCAACCATTTTTTTTTCAGTTTCCTCTGTATAGAAGCTTACAGTTGATGTGCCTGATGTCGGTCACAAGAAGCGGTATGTCCATGACATCAATAAACGTTTATATTTTAAAGATTAGGTACTCAATTTTTTGTGTGTGTTAGTGTTATGTACTCAGGTGAATATGATGTTTGTGATGTTACTCTGAGTGTGCATCCACACCGGGCAAGCTGAAAAGTTTGCCTGACCACAGTGGGAATCAAACCCGCGACCTTTTGGGATACTAGTCCAATTGCTCTACCAACTGATTAGGTACTTGATAAATTTCCTTCTATTTTGTAGGTTTGGACAGTAAAGTTTATAAATCACTGAGACAGCAATTGTTACAGGTTTGAAATTTTGTGGAAAGATTTTTAGATCATAGAAATTTTATTTCAATTATTCATTGCCTTTGTTTGTGAAAAAACACCACGTATGTCTTTTTTCCCAATATTATTAATGCCCGGGGACCTTTATCGCTGCAATCATGAAAATCTAGATGTAGAAACTTGTCTCATTCTTTTAGACTTACGGTCATCAACATTTGGTCGACTTGTTTAATCTTAAAAAGCTTGGTATCTTTACGGAAAATGACGTAAGCATACTGTCACTATAACATTTCACTTCATGTATGTCAATGTACCATGAACTCATGGAAATAGTTTACTTTACTTCATATTTTACTTTTAGAAACGAAACAATTTTCGAAACCTAAATAAGAGACTCAACTTAGTAAGTAAACTGACATTAACATAATAGCACAGAGTAAGTCTCACTTCTGCGGGAAAACCGTACGAGGTAATTTTTACTGCGCATATCTGGCGGCCATGTTCTTAGCCCTAAAGAGAGGCATTCACCCCCCTGGATAATTAAGTTTCTCTACGTTTTCAGGGGGGTGACAACCTCTCTTTAGGGCATTCGCTAAGAACATGGCGAACTGGAAAAATCCCTTACACCGAATTACTGAAATTAATAAGAAGTGAGACATCTGTATGGTATTTACTCTGTGACATTACCCTGACATACACGCGTAAAAACGCTCAGGTTGATGCAATACTGATGAAAACAGGATTGAACAATGTTTTGCTGCCCACATTGTTCATAGCTGTCAACAATATTGAACAATATTGTTACACCAGATTCAGGCTCAACATTGTTCAATTTTGTTGACAAGTGTGAACAACGTGGGCAGCAAAACATTGTTCAGTCCTGTTGAGCAACGGGCTCGGCGTTTTTTGCGGTGTAGACCAGTGTATAAATTCTGAGCATAGCCCTAGGTTTACCTTGCCGACATTTTCCCACCCATTTCTTTCACTTTCCATCCCTTAAGAGTATGTTACGTAAAGAAAGTGTGGTCAGGGTAGACTACAGGCCATGCTCACAATTTTCCTGCGACTACGTTTTGGATAACATGGCCATGGGTCTGTATTCGAAATTGCGTCGATTTAAAATTTCATTTATCTATAGGTTCCCAAATCAGGCGAGACGATAGATTTAAATATCCCAACAGATATGGCTTACGTCTTTGGTGGATCTTATGCACCTTTAAGCTGCAAGCTGGTTGAACAGGTATATTCATGGACGAAATTCATGTTGAACAAATCATATGTGAAGGTTTAAGATGTTTAATGATGTTTAATCGGTTCCTGCCAGGGGCCTATGGTTGCATTTTTCGCAGCTGTTCCTGGTTAAGTCTAATAAATGTATATAGAATTTAAACTCGATAATTTTCATTTATACAAAATCCATCCTTGATTAGTGATGCAGTAATAACACAAGACATTAGTACACTTCGTAATGTTGCCTATAGGTATACAGTCGCGGAGGTTTTCTGGGCCTGGAAGAAGTTACCAAGTTATTGGGAGAAACATTCCATACCAGACGAGGAACTTCAAACCGTGGTACGTTACTTCGCATGTAATAAATACTACCAAAGAATAATACAGAATTTGTGATCAAGTACTATTTTGTGAAAGGGCACAAAAACCATAGCGAAGAAACACGCATGTATCGGTTTGTATTTATAACTATAAGTTTGCTTCACCGATGCTCAGTCAGGGTGTGATATCATTGAAGATGTTTAGTTGTACCTCAATGATTATTGACACATACTTGAGCTAGTACAAACTTAAGACTCGAGGTGTACGTAGTCTTTACGACAAAGTACATAAAGCACAGTTCTCCAAAAGGTATTCATTCCGTAACGTGAAACTACGAGAAGGAACACAATTGCATATATAACCAAAATGCACAATAAAACAAAGCAAACAAATAAAAAGAAAACGCCATTAAAGCCAGTGCTTCTGTTTTTCAGCATCGAGTACCGCGCAAAACAAGAAGAAAGTCATACTAGTTTTCTTCCTTGGTGGCTGCACATATTCAGAAATTACTTCGTTGAGATTTCTGGCAAAACAAAGAGGTATTTCATATTATATGCATACTTTAAATCATCCCAGCTGCATGTTATATATGATTTGACTCAAATAGGCCCTTCCCATACGAAAAAAATTAGAATTCCCATTGAAATTTTCTTTGCCTTGATCCGTGATGAGGACAAAAATCTCTACCTTCGACATCCTCTTCTAAGTCTTTTTTAGGTTTAGTGCTCTCCCAACCGTTCTTCGTCCTTCGATTGGATGTTTCCATGCTACCTTGACTGCATCTTCTTCGTCTTGTCTCAAAATGTGGCCAAACAATCACATTCTCGCCTCTCTGACATCGAAACAACGTCAGCCTCAGATCTTATACCATCGTTCCTGCATTTCTATTCCATCCAGCTGCTGGGTTTTTTAAAAATTCCAATTGAAATTATAGTATTGTCGAATCCCTGCTAACGGACACTTCTCGTAAGTGGACACATACATAAATTGAAATTTCAATAGGAATAAGGAATTTGGGCCAATTTGCCATAAAAATTCGCATTGGGATTCCATTTGGATTTGTTTTGTAAGGGTTTGCATAAACGTCAAAACAATGATTGGATGCCATGGAGAACAATGAGATATTCAAAACAATGAAAAGACATTGGACCATTCCAACCACTGGATCATGACTGGATGGTACTATTGCTTTGCTAAATAATCTTCTTTCATGTTTATAGGTTGGAAAATCATCATAGCTACCACATCATTCACAAACTCTAAACGATTACTGGAGTCTGTGCAAGATGTTCTGTGAAATATTATAAAGTCAGATATACGCAACTAGATTTTCGGCCAGTCATTTGAAGACAATGTAAAATTTGCAAGTTGTTTCTATCTTGGATTATATAAACCATTGATAACAGTCCTTGCCTAGTCTCAGATCTTAGTTCCAGACTTCCAGTCTACCTGCACATTTTGTCAATCTACTATTTATAGGTAAGCAAGAAGGACTGAAAATAAATAATAATTTCAAAATGTTGTAAAACAGCATTCATCAAAATGTAATTGACAAGCACGCATTCATATTATTTGAAATGTGTAAAACAAGTCTTATACTCAAAGACTTTATAATGTAAATATTGCAGAAATAAAATTAAAATTTTCCATAGTTTATCAATTTCCTGTTTTGAACGAACCTACCTATAGATCACTTTCAATCATCTCTTACTATTCTTTTCTACATCATCATCACTAGATTCTGAGTCGCTGCCACTGGACTCACTAATATCAGCCTTGTTAGTAACAACCTCATTAGTATCAGCCTCGTTAATTTCATCCTCAACTTCCGGCCTCATTTTCCAACTGTCTTGTTTTGTCCTTGTTGTGAACTTCAACCCTGCACCTTGATAAGCTGCCGGACCTGGTCCTTGCGTGCCAAGGTTGGTCGGCGGCTCTCGAGACATTATCTTCCTCCGATCAGCAGTCAAGGCAAAGTTATAGTTTGTTTCTGTTTTTAGTACTTCTTGTATTTTTTCTTCTAAATTTTCCATTGTTACAAATGATTTGCTTTCTTCCTAAAGTTAGAATAAAAATGTTACAATAAAAATGTTACAATAAAAATGTTACAATAAAAATGTTACAATAAAAATGTTACAATAAAAATGTTATAATAAAAATGTTATAATAAAAATGTTACAATAAAAATGTTACAATAAAAATGTTATAATAAAAATGTTACAATAAAAATGTTACAATAAAAATGTTACAATAAAAATGTTACAATAAAAATGTTAGAATAAAAAATTAAAAATGTTATAATAAACATGTTATAATAAAAAATTAAAAATGTTATAATAAAAATGTTACAATAAAAATGTTACAATAAAAATGTTATAATAAAAATGTTATAATAAAAATGTTACAATAAAAATGTTACAATAAAAATGTTACAATAAAAAATTAAAAATGTTATAATAAAAAATTTAAAATGTTATAATAAAAATGGATATCGAGGTATATCCAATGGATATCAGGACACTGCACATTCCAAGCCCTAGGTGGGTTAACTCATTAAAGCACAATGTACCCTTACAATGCATATTTGATATTTGAAGGAACAACTGATTTGAAGATTGCAACTTCTGACGGTTTATAAACTTAAAAGCACAGCATTCTGACAGACAATTCCAAAAAAACTTACAATGACTTTAAGAACTAATTCTCTGTTTCTTTCACGTTGCTTAGCATCATTTTCAGCTTTTTGTTTTTCAAGTTGAATTGCCATTCTTTTTCTTCTCTCCTCCAGTTTACTTTTCCTAAAAATTAATTATGTTATTATTTCCCAGATCCAGTGTGTTCCATGTAACTTGTGTGCCAAACATGCTCCATGTGTTGTTATTTACCATAAATATCTATCTATCAAGTTTTCAAAGTAATTATCTATCAAGTTTTCAAAACCAAACAAATACAAGTGATTGAAGGCAATATATTGTGAATGCTTTTATGCTTTATTGGTTCATTCTGGAAAAATAACCACATCAAGGAAATTGGAACTTAACCCTCCCCCATAGATGGATTTTCTGGGGGGGGGACTTATATTCCATTAAAATTAACTGACAGTAGTGTGATTGGAAAAAAGGATTTTGAACTAAATGACCAAAAATTTCCTGGGGCTTCGTCCCCTTACCCCATTAGCAACTGTACCCCCAGACCCCTGCTGCAGCTTGTTCAGCGGTGTTATGCACCCCATCGATGCTATGCACCCCCGGAGCAAAATCTGAAATTCCATCTATGCCCTCCTCTTCGGACATTCTAATACTATTGTCATAAGTAGATTTCCACCCTTTCTGGATATTTCCTCCACAATGGGTGCAGCTTAAAATCAACGATTGCTAATGAAAAGTGACGCTGACAGTCTGTTATGTGGAAACATGCACCAATTCCAGCATGGAATTTGGAAAGTTTGTGCTTTAGCACTTAAAATGCTGGGTATTTAACCAATTTTCTCTAATTTTTTTTCAATAGCCAATTTGCTCGGGTGGTGTACTAGTACGTCAGGTCAGTGTCAGTTCTGTTTGTATACAAACCTATCAATTTCTTTATTTTCATTGTACTTTCTGATATCTTCCACAGCTTTCTTGTGTTGTTCTACTGGAGAAAAACTTCCACGATTCAATTCCTCCACTCTCCGTCTTTCCTTCGCCTGTTTCTTCTCGTGCTCGGCACGAAATATTTCACGTGTGTTCTGTACATTTTCACGATATTGTTCATACGCTAAAACTTTGTCCACGTCCTTTTCTTTCTTCTTTTTGCCTTGGCCAGTGTCTTGGCTATGTTTTTCTACCTCTGCCGCAGCAATACAAAAAGTTCTCGCAACAGAATTGAGTGGAAAATTAGAGAAAAGTTTAGCACGTTTTAAACACATTCTTGTCGCCATCTTGTCAAATTCAAAACTTCCACCGCAATTTTTATCAAGAAATAAAAAAAAGCGCCGCTTTATTTGGCGCCTTCAGATACTGATCTCAAAAAAACTGTACTGAAACACTCTCGTAACATAACGGTGGTACAGTTGACGTCACAGCCGCCATGTTAGTGTCACACATACTATACATTTCGGTCTTGGAGCCTCGCTCTCACCATAGTAGGCCGTGAGATGAGGGTCGAAAATATGCTTAGAAAACAGATTCCGTAGCACCCCTCGTGTAACTACATAATTTTTACATGAATCTATAGATTATAACTTACTTAGTTAGAATCCACTTCCCCCCAAGCGAAATAGTTGCACAAATTGAAGTATAAGCCCTTCAAAGTTCACGCTTCCTCGTGTTTCGGAATCCATGAACCGCCATTGTTGTGTTGCAAATACGCATGCGCTTGAGCACAAAACACGTAATGCGCACGCGCAGATAAGAAAAACTGATCTCAATCTAGGACTGGACAAGAGAAAATTATGAAATGTGCGAAAACAGGGCTGAAGTAAAACAAGATGACATCGGAATATTTTAAAAATATATGATATTTTTATGTTCTGTGCATTTTAATGGAGTTTACCAAACATTCTGAGCAATGTACTGTATCGAGCCCTCGCCAGGAACACTTCCAAGCCAACATTACAATAATAACTTATTTAAAATATGATGTTATTTTATATTACAGCAATTGCATAACGTTTGCAAGCGAATCTGTTTTTCAGGCTTTAAATAATGACAATCCTAAATATTCTAAAACATGCATACCATAATTTCTCTATCCAATTTAGAAGGGGGGAGGGGGGTTTAATTCTAACTGTTTTGCACGTTTGATTCTCTTTATATATGCAACATCGGGTACTGTGATTATCAGTAAAATATCATAATTATCTTTCAAATACAACGCAGTCAACACTTTCATGTTTCACGATTTTATACATTAATTAATTGGTTACATGAGAAAGGGGTGGGGAGTAGGGGTGGGGGGGGGGCGCTAAACAGAGAAATTGCGATATACCATAAGGGAGTGGTCATCATTTATGGGGAGGGGGGAGTTGGGAAATGGGGAAAATAAGGATTGAAAACTTTTTTGTCCCCCCCCTCCAGTTTTGTGCCTCCCCCCTCATAAAAGTAGAAACTTTTCTGACGCCCCCCCCCCCAAGTGTAGATTGAAAAATTAACAGCAATGAAACAGGTGTGCATTGCAGGTAAAGTTAGATATTAGGACAATCTGTTCAATCTAGCTCATGATGTTTTACCCTGGGGCCGTTTGTTCAAAGGTGGGTTAGCGCTAAACCTGGGTTAAAAGTTTAACCTGCTGTTTTAGTTTGTGTATTTCTGCACGTCTGTTTATTTCAAAACTTTAGACAAGTAAACTCCTATCCATCCAGACAAGATTTCTGAAGAAATATTTCCAAATTTATAGACAAGCTGTCAGGAAGTTTGCTTTGAATTTTAGGTTAACCTAGGGTTAAGCTAACCCAGCTTTGAACAACCGGCCCCTGGTGAATATGGTTCAACCATATATGATTAAAAAATATATATCGTGTGTTACTACTTTGCAATGCAACATTTGTCCTACCATAACGCTAACCCATGACCCGTCTTCATACAGCGAAATGAGATTTTAAGAACTTGTCTGGGGGGTGGGCATCTACAAAAAGGGACCATACTATATTGAGTGTGTAGAGACGACAGATGGTTGTTGGTGACAAAAAGTTTGGTGTGGTATCGTATGTAGTAGTAAGGGTGTCTGGGAGTATTCTCCCCCAGAAAATTTTTTGTATTTTTCCACCCCTAGAACTGTAATGTGAGCATTTTCTGAAACAGATTTTTGGATATACAGCGTTACATTGTGCGTTGATAGACCGAATCTGATCAGTTAAGTGTACTTGCGCCCATGGTATGTTTATGTAAATACCACAACTGGGTCACTCAGGGGGTAGAAAGCTTGTTAAACTTAGTGGGCCCAACTCCCACGATCGCGAGGCGCTACCATGGTTGGCGCTGAGCAGTAATTTTGAAAATATTGAGTCTCTAGATCGTTGGAAATAGCATTTTCAGAGTCTTCTTTTTTGCTATTTGTGATTATAGAAATCAGAACTCTAGACATGGTATTTAAGTTCAAAAACTTTTATGACCCCCCCTTTCTCTGTGTTAAAACTTTTTTAACCCCCCCCCCTATTTATAAGGGTAAAACTTCGTTTGCCCCCCTCCCATTTCCCAACCCCCCTCCCCATAAATAATGACCACTCCCTAAATATGACTGAGTGTTACTCGGTGCTCACAATCTCTTATTTTTCAATCCTATTTAGGAAATAGCTTAGTAGATTTTAGGAGGTATTGTTATGCAACAGCATTAATGGCGTGACGTTTGCAATCTAATTATAATAACTTGCGCATACGACACGCGCATACCAAGATAAAGGGAGTTTTGTCTTATCTATTTAGCATTAACAGCTTTAAATTTCCACAACACACTGTCCATTCTCACTCAAGTAAATTTAAATATGCTATCCAACAGCATTAAGACGCAAATCGGAACAAGACCAACAGATTACCTGACTCAGACTGAGTAGTTTTCTCTTTATCAAAACATCACTTCTCTCCAAAATGTCCAGAAACGTAGCCATGCAGGATTTTTGGTCAGGGGGGCAGCAAAAACGTAGGTGGGCTATGTTTCACTTCTTTTTATAGAATAAATTTTCTCAGGGGCACCAAAATTTTACCAGGGGGCGGGCGGGTACCCCGAGCCCCAACATGGCTACACTAAAGGCGTACATGAACAACGAAATACGAGTGTTTGAGGATTGGTTGGTACAAAAACAGAGTCGTAATGAGGTTCCAGTCAGCGTAACTCAGAATTGGTACGTTGGCCCTTGAGGCAAAGAGTTAACCTCCATTCTTTGGCTTAATAATGGATTAGACGCAAAGCCAATAAACAACCATTACCCGGACTAATAAAATTAATTGACGGGAAAAGATTTAGAGAATAAATAAGATTGTGAATACCGAGTAATACTTAGTTAATGGTATTAATAATAGTCATTTCTTTGTTTAGCACCACTTCTTCCCCACCTCCAGCCCTCTCCTGTAAGCAATTAATGTATAAAATCGTGGAGTGAAATTGTATTTGAAACTTGAAAGATAATTATGGTATTTTACGGAAAATCACAGTACTCGATGTTGCATATTTAAAGAGAATAAAACGTGCAAACAGATTCTTTGTGTATATTAGAAATACCTCCATCCTTGAAAAATGATAAATTACGGTATGAGTTCTAGAACGTTTACAAGGGTGGGTAGTAGCGAAGTAGTTGTAGTTCGCTACTGTAGCGAACTACAATTTTCAAGTAGCCAGTAGTTTTTGACTACTTTTTTAAAACAGTAGCTGTAGTTATAGCGAACTACATTTTGCCTAAAAGTAGCCAAGTAGTTAACTACTTTTCAAACAGCGATTTTCAATCGCTATTCGCTACTTTTTGAAATTGTTAGCACCTTGATAGAATAACGTGATATTGAGACACAGTTTGCTTAAAATCAATACTCAATATTTCAAACAATTCAGCCTGAGCTAGTAGATGCTCCAAATACAATAAAACTAAAAAATATAGCGTAGCGAAATAGCGAAATAGTTCGCTACATTTTTTAAGCAGTAGCTGTAGTCAGTAGCGAACTACCTTTGTTCAAAAGTAGCAGTTAAGTTGTAGCTGACTACATATTTTTGAAGTAGCTGTAGTTATAGCGAACTACAAAAATTTTGTAGTCAACCCACCCTTGAAC